AAGCTGTCATCCTTGGTAGAGAGCTGTGGTGTCACAGCTCACAACAACCTCCAGCTCTTGGGCTTAAGTGATTCTCTTGCTTCAACCTCCGAAGTAGCTGGAACTACAGGTACCCACCACAACGCTCAGCTATTTTTGTTGTTGTTTAGCCGGCCTGGGCCGGGTTGGAACCTGCCAGCCTCAGTGTATGTGGCCATTGCCCTACCCACTGAACATAGATGCTGCCCTGTATTTATTTATTTATTTATTTATGCAGAGTCTCACTCTGTTGCCCCAGGCTAGAGTGCCTTAGTGTCATAACCTATAGCAACCTCATACTCCTGGGCTCAAGCAATCCTCTTGCCTCAGCCTCTTTAGGATAGGCACCTATCACTATACCCAACTACTTTTTCTATTTTTTAAGTAGAGATGGGGGTCTCACTCTTGCTCAGCTGGTCTTAAACTCCTGAGTTCAAACAATCCACATGCCTGGGCCTCCTAGAGTGCTAGGATTATAGGCATGAGCCACCACACCCAGCCTATTGTGTGCTTCTCTGTTGGTACTTTACCTTGGCACAAAATAATTTGCTTAACTTTAGTATCGTAATTTTAATAAAGTCCTTAAAGGCAGCTATTCTGTCATTCCTTGGTAACCCCTGTACTACTTAGCATTTTGCCTTATGAGAGAAAAAAGTCCAGTAGAACCTCCATAGTGGACCACCTCCCTGCATTGACCATCTCTTTCGTTGACCTAGTTTTCACAGACTGGACACACAGCACAACATGTACACATCATTACAGTAGGCATAATTCCTGTGTCAACCACCTCTGAATGTTGGGTGTTCAGCTTATCGAGTTTTACTATTTGGTATATTTATAACTGAAATCAATAAATAGATCATTTAGTCTGAGTTCTTCTGTTGGCAGGAACTGGTAAATAAATTTCCAGTATGTGTTATATGAGTTTCAACCTCCTACGCTATCACCGTTAACTTTTTTATTTCTTAATTGCTGATACAGATGCATCTATCATAAATATTTGGTTTTTGTGATGTTTAAACTGTCCCAATTTGGGGATAATCCCAGTCAACACAGCTAGCTCTTTATCTCCGTGATAGATTGAGTCACAGGAACTCACCTGACCGCCTCCCCCCAAGTCCAAGATGGCCCAGTGACCCTGTACCTTCCTATAAAAATGTGCAGGGGCTGGGGCTCCCAGCAGTGGGACTCTGGTCCAGAGCAGGCCTTAGTTATCCTGAGGCACCTGGGGCCTGGCCTGCATCTGCAGTGCTGCCTTGGGAGCCCTAAGACCTCTTTGGCGAGCATTCAGCAAAAGGTCCAGTGTGCATTCCAGATCTCCAAGGAAGCCCATGTGGCTCTGGCTGCCCCAGCTCTCTGGCCTATCATGGGGACTTTCTGTGTCATCCCCTCCTGCATGGGACTTTACCTACAAGCTTATCTAGCCCTCGGCCGTGCCCATGGGTGCTCTTTGGTGGGTATCTCTGGATGGGTGATCATGTCCAGCCATCTTGAAGCTTTGAATTTAGTCGAAGGTTATCCTCAGCTTCTGTCCCCCTATTGAAGGTCAGCAGCCAGGCACCCTGGCCTCTAGTCTTGTTTTCTCACCTCATGAGCCCTCAGCCCCCATGCTTCTCTGCCACCCCCAGCCACTGCCCCCACAGGTGGTGCCACGCCAGCCAGCTCAGCCTCTTGAGCTGTGGTGAGGGGGAGGGCCAACTGGTGGGCCTCCTTACTTGAAGAAGCACATGGCCCCTCCCTCATAATGGGCCTCCTGGTTCACTATCTGGGCACCCTTGGTGCCCTACAGCTCAGAACTCTGCCCTTTGCTCCCCACTCCTGTTGAGGACCCTGAGTAAGATCCCCACTGCCCCTGGCTCTCCTGGCCACCCTGGAGAGCTGGCTGCTGCCTCTTTCAGCCCTGATTAGCCCTACTTTGGCCTTCATGACCATGAACCCTTCCCCCCAGCAATCAGAGACAGGTGGCACAGACCCGCTGATAGCTGCGGATCCTGTCTGGGAGCTCACGTCGTTTTAAGGGTCTCTGGTGTTACTGTCCACTGTCCTCGGTGCACTGTACATGCTCACAGCCCAAGCAAGGGCCCTCAATTTGGTATCTCTCTCTCTTGCTCTTCACTTCTGACCTGGGCTCCCTCTCTCTTCCCAGCCCTCTAGAAGTCTGCTCTTAAGTCCTCAGGTGCACACTCCTGTAGACTCATAAAATGCATTTTGTACACTTTTGTTTCTAAATTACATCAAGGAGGTACAATGAATACTGAAAAAACAAAACAAAACAGCCCAATTTCAGGGCAACTTAGAAGTTAAAGTTGAAATATAAACAGCTTAACTATTGTGTGACAACAAACATCAACTTCCATTGTTTTATAAATTTAAGTTTGGTTTATATATTTTATTGAAACGATTATTCTCTAAACATCCACATCATTCCCTCTGCATCTTCTTTTTACAAACATTTGTCTTCTACCATTTTGTTATTTTATCCTTTTTTTATATTTAAGAGTCAAACTTATTTGACTTGCAAAGTTAATGGAATATGGTTCGGAACCAGGTGTGGCCCTAACTTAAGCCAAAAACCTGTCTCATATCTGACCTTGACTCAAGGAGGTGTATTAGCATTGCTAAGACTTCAACACCTCATCTTTTCAGAATTCAAATCCTTAGAATTTCTCTGCTTTTAGTGTAATCTGTTCTGTGTATCTGTTGTAGATTTCCATTGTGAATAGATTTCCAAAATAATTTGGATGCTCAATTAGTATTTTAGTCTTCTGATAATTAATGTGTTTAAATAATCTAGACCTTTTTCATGCAAAGAGGACTGCTTTCTTTCAAAGGCACAGCCAGAAAACCTTAGGATCTAAGATAGTAAATAATGATAAGAGCAAATTGCTAGTGATGACACAGCTGCAGGGTCCATTGTGTATTTGTTTGGCTCAGGTACTGTAGGAATTAGAATTCTCAGAATTACATAGCAGAAGTGGTATGTTGCCTGGATACCACACTACCAGAAGAATAAAAATGTAGTGAGGACAAGGGGTTTTATATCTTACAGTGAAACCGTGTTAATATAAAAAGCATTCCAAATAGGCCAGTCCTCTTAAGTGAGACTGATAGCAGACATTCTTTATGTAATTTCCTCAATGTCTCTATTTCTCACCTTTTTTTAGAGGAAGACAAAACTCAGGTTAAAACTTTAACCCAAGGATAAACTCCTAGGAACTTGAGAAGGAAATATTTTTGCGCTGTGCAACTGTGTAAGGATACTACTGTGAGAATTAAATGTTGGAATTAAAAACCAGAGTAATGGGGCCATAGCGTAGATGAACATTTTCCCTGTAAGCCTCTAATTCTCATTTTAGACACAATGCTTTCATCACCATATTCAGTATTACTTTTTCTTTCTTCTGGTCTGTGGCTCTTTTAAATGATAAGTATTCTGCTTTTCCGATTGGGATCAGTTGACATTTGTGCTAGAGCCCCCAAAGGGCGATTCTAGGTTCAGCATTTGTGCTGTAGATAGGTATCAGAGTAGTCGAAACTATTAAAAAGGCAAATTATTGAACTGGATGTTGCTGTTTTCATTTCTTGGATATTTTCCTTATGTATATCAACTCTTCCAGTAATTACTCATCCTGGTAAATTATTTTTGCTAATTCTTTCCAAGATGCTGACAGCTAAAATGTTAGCAGGCACTAGCCAAGCCCTTTCCTGCCACCCACTAGTTATTCTCACCATCTCTTCTCTGTTTATTCTACTTATCCCAGAGCTAGAGTTTCTTGGAGGCTGAGGCTGGGAAAGTACTCAATTTTTCTCGTTTTTGACCTCTTAGGAGGAAGTGATTATGGAAACGCTGGCAATCCCTGATCTTTTGGATAATTTAAGGCGTAGAATCATCAACAGTCCTAGGCTCATATCCTGAAATGGAAGAAATGGAGGAAGCTCCAGGTTTGGTGCAATATTAAATTTCCTTTTAGTCTTCCTTGACATCTTAAGGGAAAACTGATCTAATCTCCCTTTCTGGTCCAGCCAGTCTTGTCTGGCTTCACATATTCTCAGAAACAGGAGACTAGAAGGTTGTGCAGAGTGATCTTTCAGCATTTCTAGATCTTTTTCTCTTGAAAAATTCTAAAAAAAAAAGTTACATGACATGTAGTAAATGTTTTCTTCCTCCAGAGATACCCAGCAGCAGAGTCCTTACACTCATCTGATTTGGGGGAAAACCCACAGTTGCTCCAGTGTCTGTTTCTGTTTGTCAGCAATCTGAAATCACTATAACGAAAAGTTTTTCAGTCTTTTGCACACATTTTGGTTTCCTTTTTTAGTTTTTATGTAGGTTTTGATGTAAGTAGGAAGATTGTAGTAGAATAGGAAAAAGTCATTCCCTCTTCTCAATCTCCCAGAATTTCAACAACTCTTGAAATTAATATCCAAACCTTATGACAAAGGAAGTCAGAATAGAAGACACATTTCCTTTTTTTGGAGTTTCTTAGAAGTGGTTCGTGTAGTACATGGTGCAGTAGGTGTAATAGAAGGCTGTGGGTGCTGCTCAACTATGTCAATAATCACAATAATCCAATAGGTTTGCAGAAATGCATAGAACATTTACAAACAAGATCCAATTTTTCCTCGACAATGGTGAATCAAAGCATTAATACCAAACATGCCAGGTGAGAAGTTTTAGATGTGTTCATCTCACCGTTCCCCAGCCTTCTCACCACAGGTCCTGGTCAACCAATAGATTTGGACCCTGCTTTCCTTTACTCTGGTCTAAAGGTGCAAGAAGAGGCCTTTTTGTAGGTGATCAGCTTACATCCTTTTGCTTGTTTCGTGTCCTATAAGGAAAGTGCTCTTCTGAAGAGGTTCCATGTGATGCTCACTGCTATTTAAATAACCTCTCATCTGGTCCAAGGGGTTTGTGTGGCTGGTGACTGAGCTCCCATGACTAGAAGAGTCTGTGAAAACAGGGCAGTTGGGGCCACTCCGGTTCACACTGTTTGGAAGGTTCTGCTCTGGCTGTGGATCGTGCTAGGCATAGGCTCTGCTTTGGTCAGGGCAGCGTGGTGGACTTTCTTTGGCTCGGAAGCCCTCGCCTCTAGCCTGGCAAGGCTGTGTCCCTGGGTGGCTGGGCCTGGCTGAGCTGCCGCTTCAGTTGACAGTGTCCGCTGGCTGCGGGAGGCACTGTTTTCCGTGGAGCGTGTGGAGGAAGAACCAGAGCGTGAACTGCGAGAGCCCGAGGACGAGGAGCTGGGTTTCACCAGGCGGGCTTTGGGGGCTTCCGCGTCTTCCCTGAAGGGAAAAAACAGCAAGGACAAACCTTAACACTGGCAGGACAATGTCAGCTTTCACTCCCATTGCTTCCTTGTGAGGTTTCCCAAGAAATTCTCAAGATGCAAACCTCAAATAATACCACTGGAAGACCGCCGTCTAGAGAAATAGGCACTAACTCATTTCTTAAGGCTTAATGCTTAGCTCCGGCAATTGTGTGTTTTGTTAGCCCAGAGGTCAACCCTGTTAGACGGAGAGGATGGGATCTCACCATTGAAATGTCACTCTTCCTGATTCAGGGTCTGTCTACACAAACCCTTTCATGGTCCATATCCCATTCTTATTGTATGTCCTTTTAAGAATGGATGTGAACTAGAAATAATGTCAACTTGAACTTTTGGTCTCCGTTGAGGGTAGTTTCACCATAAAGTCCAGGAAAAGCACATTAATCTCTGTCTCTAGGCTGGAACTTCCTACCTACCAGAATAATCCTTTTAACAGATTGATGGTTGAGAGGAAACTGGAGACATTTATGTTGACTGGTCACTAGAACTGGCCCTAAGAAAGAAGCTCAGTTGAAGTGGGGATTTGGGGAGGTTTACCGAATTTCGTTAGGTCTCTCTTCTTCCTCGTATCTCTCTTTGTCTTTCCTTCGGATTAGTAGCCATACCAGGAGGAAAATCAGCAGAGCTCCCGCCACTATGCCCGTCACGGCTCCTGCAACCATGCCGATGCTTTGTACATCTGTTTTCTCAGAGGCAAAAACACAAGTAAAAAAACAGAGATAAGCTAGGAAATATATACCCCAAAGTCAAAAGCCCTAGAGAAGATAAGTATTTTCAGGTCTTTGTGTCTCTCTATCCATTACTCTCTGTGTGGCCGTCCCTCTGGATGTTTTTCCAGTTGTAATTATTGAATCACAGGCTTCTCCAGCATTTGGTCCAGATTTTAATGAATAAGTCTAGATTGGTTCTGAGAGCAGAACAGTGGCCATGGAAGTTGGATTCTGCTAAGGAGTGTGTAACAACTCACCTGCCAAATCAACTTGCCCCAAATTTTTAAATTTAGGGCAGCACCCATAGCTCACTGGGTAGGGGGCCAGCCACATACAGTGAGGCTGGTGGTTTGAACCCAGCGCAGGCCAGCTAAATATCAATGACAACTTCAACAAAAAGTTGAAGGGAGTTGTGGCAGGCACCTGTAGTCACAGCTTCTAGGGAGGCTGAGGCAAAAGAAACACTTAAGCCTAAAGGTTGGAGGTTGCTGTGAGCTATGATGCCAGCACTCTACTGAGGGTGACATAGTGAGACTCTGTCTCAAAAAAATTTTTTTTAATTTAAAATAATCAAAATTAAAAAGAAGGAGAAAAATAGATTGGTTCAGATAATAAAAGGGGCTGGGAGAGATAACGTACCATATTCAAAGATTTGTCATCCTTATCAAGATAATGTTTTGGGCAGTCCTCCAGGCATTTGCTAATGCCTCTGCTTTCTCTACCTTCTTCCTTCTCCCACAAGTAAAATAAAAAAGAAATATAATTTTTTTTTTCCTTAGGTTGGGCATAGTGGCTCACTTCCATAATCCCAGCACTTTAGGAGGTCAAAGTAGGAGGATTACTTGAGGCCAAGAGTTTAGACCATCCTGGGCCAAAAGTTTGGACCAGTCTTGGCTACAAAAACAAACAAACAAATAAAAACTTAAAAAATTAGCCAAGTGTGGTGGAATGTGCCTATAGTCCCAGCTATTTTGGAGACTGAGTTAGGAGGATCACTTGAGCCTAGGAGTTTGAGGCTACAGTGAGCTATGCACCATTGTCTTCCAGCCTGGACAAAGGAACAAAACAAAAACTATCTCTGGAAAAAAATTAATTTTAAATACAATAAAAGTTAACTTTAAAAAACAATAATTTAACTTATAATGTTAAATTATAACATTAGACCCTGGGATTTGCCTGTGGATCCTAGAAATAGGTAAATGTTATTTGCACATTAGTAACTCACATAACCTTTCCTTCATGCATCAAATACTTATTAAGAGCCTACCCTGAGCAAGGCACAGTTCTAGGCACTAGTGTACCCAGGAACATTTTCTCCTTTTGTTGAATTTATGTTCCAGAAAAGGAAAACAGATAATAAATAAAGATAATTTTGGATGATGGATAAATTCTATGAAGGCAAAAGTGAATGAGTGATATTTTAGAGAGGGAACAGAGAGATACCACTTATGTTTGGGTGATCAGGACTTTGAGGAGATGACCTCTGAGTTGAGATATAGATGATACAATAGACTATCTTGTGATGATTTAGGAACAGAGCACTCCAGGCAGAAGAACAGTAAGTTTTTTTTAATTTATGGATGGAGTCACACTCTCTTGTCCAAGCTGGTACAGTGATGTAATAGCTCACTGTAGTCACGAAATCCTGAGCTCAAACAATGCTCATACTTCAGCCTCCCAAGTAGCTGGGATTACAGGTGTATGCCACCAGTGTATGGTAGAAATAATGTACGTGGATACAGTAGATGGATATTACCTATGTTTTGGAAGTATAGTCGGAAGAATTTTCTGTTTATTCTTTTTTTTTTTAAACATTATGTTTCTCCAGTACTTTATTTTTTGAGACAGAGTTTACTTTATCACCCTTGATAGAGTGCTGTGGTGTCATAGCTCATAGCAACCTCAAACTGTTAGCCTCAAGTAATCCTCTTGTCTCAGCCTCCTAAGTAGCTGTAACTACAGGAGCCTGCCATAACACTTTGCTATTTTGGGAGACAGGGTCTAGCTCTGGTTCAAGCTGGTCTCACACTCCTGAGCTCAAGCAATCCACCAGGCTCAGCCTCCCAGAGTGCTAGGATTATAGGCATGAGCCACTGTGCCTGGCTTCCTGTTTATTCTTTTTCTGTTTTTATTTTTTTGAGACAGTGTCTCCCTCATATACCTGGGCTAGAGTGCAGTAGTGCGATCATAGCTCACTGCAACCTCAAACTTCTGGGTTTAAGTGATCCTCCTGCTTTAGCCTCCTAGGTAGCTGAGACTATAGCCATATCCCACCACGTCTGACTAATTTTTCTATATTTTGTATTGATAGGGTCTCACTTTTGCTCAGGCTGTTTTCGAACCTGACTTCAAGCAATCCTTCTGCCACTGCCTCCCAAAGTGCTAGGATTAAAGGTGTGAGCTACTGCACCCAGGTAAAAGAGTTCTTTGTTATGTATTTATACTTTAGTTATTAGATGTTAAAAATATGTCTACATAATTATTTGCTAGTTCTCCTTTCAGGAGGTACAGCTTTATTTTCCCTTTGAGTATGGTTTGGACTTAGTTGCTCACTTCTTCTTCTTCTTCTTCTTTTTTTTTTTTTTTTTTGTTTAATCTGTTTCTGTTGTTCTGGGCTAGAGTCTCAGTGGTGTTATAGCTCATAGCAACCTCAAACTGTTCGGCTCAGGCCATCCTTCTTGCCTCAGCCTTCCAAGTAGCTGGAACCACAAGTGCCCACTGCAATGCCTAGCTAATTTTTCTATTTTTAGTAGAGATGAGGTCTTGCTCTTGCTCAGGCTGGTCTTGAACTCCTGAGCTCAAGCAATCTACCTGCTTTGGCCTCCTGGCATGCTAGGATTACAGGTGTGAGCACCATGCCTGGCTAGTGAAATACAGCAGAAGTGATGGTGCGTCACATCTGAGATATCATCATAGAGAAGCATGGCAGCTCTCTTCCTCAGATCTCAGATCACTTTTTCTTTCATCCTTTCTTTCCTACATCACTCACTTTGTGAGAAGCCAGCTGCTTTGTTAAGAGCCTTGTATAGAGGCCCTTGTGGTGAGTAACCGAGGCCAATAGCCATGTACATGAGCCGTCTCAGAGGCAGATCTCCAGCACCAGTCTAGTCGTGCAGTGACTACAACATTAGTGAACTTTTGCTCAAAATCTCTTCTGAGGAGAAACCCTGAGCCAAGATCTCCCAGCTAAGCCATCCCTGAATTTCTGAGCCACAGAAACTAACAGAATAGAAATCATTTTAAGCCGGTAAATTTAGGGGCAAATTTGTTACAAAGAAATAGACACTAGATACATAGTTCATTTTTGTCTTTTCACTTGGTTTATCCTGTTCTTTTTCATGACTTGATCTTTAGATCATAAGCCTGGCATACTATTTATTGCAGTAATATAATATTATACTATATTAATTATATTATATTTGGAGTCAAGGTCTTGCTCTCTTGCCCAGGCTGGAGTACAGTGACATAATGATAGTTCCCTGCAGCTTTGAACTCAAATAGTCTTCCAGCCTCAGTCTTCCAAGTAGCTGGGACTTCAGGTATGCACCACCACACTTGACTAATTTTTCTTATTTTTTTAGAGCTAGGGTCTTGCTATGTTGCCCAGGCTCATGTAAATAAATTTTAACAGGGGTAGCATGGCTTATGGAAACAAGCTTTGGTTCCAAGGTCTAAAGTTACCAAATTGAAGCTACACATGGTGGCTCCTGCCTGTAATCCTAGTGCTCTGGGAGGCTGAGGCAGATGAATCTCCTGAGCTCAGGAGTTTGAGACCAGCCTGAGCAAAAGCAAGACCCTGTCTCTACTAAAAATAGAAAAGACTAGCCAGGCATTGTGATGGCCTGTAGTCTCAGCTGTTAAGGAGACTGAGGCAAGAGGATCACTCGAACCTAAGAGTTGGAGGTTGCTGTGAGCTACAATGCCATAGCACTCTACCCAGGCAACAGAGTGATACTCTGTCTCAAAAAAATCATTAAGAAATAAACAAGGGTGGGGCCTGTGGCTCAAAGGAGTAGGGCACCGGCCTCATATGATGGAGGTGGCAGGTTCAAACCCAGCCCCAGCCAAAAACTGCCAAAAAAATTAAAAATAAATAAACAAAGTTACCAAATTGATTAAGGGAAAATATTAACAATAATAATAGCTAATGTTATTTATTTATTTATTTATTTTTTGAGACAGAGCCTCAAGCTGTCACCCTGGGTAGAGTGCTGTGCGATCACAGCTCACAGCAACCTCCAACTCCTGGGCTCAAGCGATTCTGTTGCCTCAGCCTCCCAAGTAGTTGGGACTACAGGCACCAGCCACAACGCCTGGCTATTTTTTTTTTTTTTTTTTTTTGGGTAGTAGTTGTCATTGTTGTTTGGCAGGCCCGGGCTGGATTTGAACCCACCAGCTCTGGTGTATGTGGCTAGTGTCTCAGCTGCTTGAGCCACAGATGCTGAGCCAATAGCTAATGGTATTGAGCACCTACAATGTGTCAGGCTGTCTTTCTAGGCAGTGGTAAGTAAATAGATTAATCTACTTCATTTTCACAAAAACTTTATGAGGTAATCAAGTCATATTCCATTTTGTAGATTAGGAAACATGTCTGAGAATCTACATAGTTAGTGACTGAAATCTTGGCAGTTATGTGGCTACAAAGCTAATACATTTAGCTTTGAGCAGTTCCTTGGTGCGATTGCTCATCTTGAACTTGAAACAAACCTATTAATAATTCTTGATTCTGCCTTACACGCACACACATGTGTCTGTGTGCACAAATGTACATGAGTGTTCACAAGCCCCCTGGGGAGGGGCGAAATCACATCTATAGTAGGTAGCTGATAACTAGTTAGTTAATTTGTTTTTTAAGACTAGTATTTGTTTAGTCTTCTCTTGGACTTGGAAAATTTCTTTAGGAGGCTGGTTAATTCACACGTTTGTAAATATAGAGTCAGATAGAGTTGTTGAATAGTCCTTGCACAAGTATTGAATTTATTTGGTGATAGCTGTATCCTTCTGGAAATAAAGACATTAACTTTGACCTTACTCATGGTTAAAATGTCTTATACTGGACCATAATGCAAAAATTAAAAAAAGAAACAAAAAAGCCCTTTGGATGCTTACACTGTACGGTCACTCGAACTACGCAGCTTTCCTTCCCAGCCTCGTTGCCCGCTGTACACTGGTACAGTCCAGAGGAGGACATGGTGAGATTCTGCAGCAGAACTCGTCCAGGGTTATTGTAATCTACAGGAGCAGAAAGAAGGACTGTAAATCCCTTAGTGACAGCAGCTATATTGACTGTTTACTTTATTGCATCACTGACATAAGATTCTCTAACACAATTTGAAGAGGATGAAATCATAGAAAAGATTCCCCTTTCGGAACATGGGAAGAAAGGTAAATGTTCTTTTAAATTGTAGCGCATCCTCAAAAGTTACAAAAAATTGTTAATATTTAAGGGACAAAAAAAAATATTTAAGGGACACTATTGGGCACAGGGGCTGATGCCTGTAGTCCTAGCACTCTGGGAGGCTGAGGCAGGTGGATCGCCTGAGCTCACAGGTTCGAGATCAGTCTGAGCACAGAGCAAGACCTAAAAATAGACAGGCACTGTGGCAGGTGCCTATAGTCCCAACTACTTGGGAGACTGAGGCAAGAGAATCGTGTGAGCCTGAGAGTTTGAGGTTGCTGTGAGCTGTGATAACATGGCACTCTACCGAGGGCAACAAAGTAAAACTGTTTCAAAAAAAAAAAAAAATTAAGGGACACTAATAGAGATAGAGACAGTGGATTTTTATAGTACATTCCTTCTAATCTCTTTTTATCACTTTTACACGTCATTTGAGGAAAGAAAAGATGGATTTCCTGTCCATCTTTACGGATAAAAAAAAGTTTATGGATAAAAAAAGTTCACGAGGTTCAGCAGTGTAATCAAGGTCACATAGTGAGTTGCTGACAAAACTGATTTAGAATTTATGGATAGAGTACTATCTTGTTGGCTCAGTTGACTGGTAGGAAGATGACTTACCAATCCTAGATTTGGGAGGCAGATGCTCATCCTCTCCCTCTTTCTCTCGGACTCGCTGCCAGTAATACACAATGGGCTTTGTGCCAGAGGATGACTCACACTGCAAAGTCAGGTCACTTCCTTCTGTCAGCTCTCCTTCCAGCTCACACTTGGGCTTGGATGGTCTCACTGGCAAAAAAAAAAAAAAAAAAAGAAGTAATGATTCAAAGATCACCAAACACCAGGAGCGGAGGGGAGCGGAGTCTCGGTGTGTGACACATCTTTTGGGGGCAAGACACAATTATAAGAGGGACTTTACCTAACAAATGCAATCAGTGTACCCTTAATGAATCCCCAACAATAAAAAAAATAAACAAAAATTAATTAATAAACAAAGATCACCAAACACCACATTCAATGGAAAAATCGTGTTCTGTTGAATGGTTTCTCCAGTCATTCCTTATGGTTAACCTTTAAGTGGAGATTCATCTGGCCATGTTGTACATTATCCCCAAAACATCCACCTCCATCCCCTACTGCACCCCCAATTCCAGTTGCTATCAGTGGTATCGTTATAATTTTTAGGGGCTGCCTCAGAAACTCATCACTTCTCAAAGAATACACACTGTTATTTAGGGAACTTTTGGGAACATTGAGCATCATTTTACTAATACTGTCGCAGGGATAGAAGTTCATCAATTTGGAAGTAATTAAGTAGAATTTAGTAGTCCTTGCTGTTGAAGAACAAGTGAATTTGAATCATATCTGAAAGATTTAAGTAAAATATGAGCATATTATTCAAATATCAGAGGATATTTTAATTTTTTTTTCTTTGAGACAGAGTCTCACTATGTTGCCCTCAGTAGAGTGCCATGGCGTCACAGCTCACAGCAAAAACTTTTGGGCTCAAGCGATTCTCTTGCCGCAGTCTCCCAAGTAGCTGGAAGGCACTTGCCACAACACCCAGCTATTTTTTTTTCTTGCAGTTGTCAGTGTTGTTTTAGCAGGCCTGGACTGGGTTTGAACCCAGCCCTGGTGCTTGTGGCTGGCACCCTAACTACTGAGCTACGGGCACTGAGTGCTATCATGGAAAATCATGATTGTATTTTCTTTTATTGTTATGGCTGACATACAGAACATATACACCTCTTCCCAGGGAACTTGTCTGGGCGGCCTCTGAATATAATTTAAAGTACTGAATGTGAAGTTTTATACCGGCATGCCGCATTTGGCTCTCTCTCCCGGAGACCCTGTGAAGATGTAGGCATTTACCCTTGGTGCCCTATCTTACCTAAGACTTTTAAGATGACGTGGCTCCACACATAGCGTCCTGAATTCTTCACCTTGCAGGTGTACCGGCCCTCATCACTGGGCTTCAGAGGCTCAATCTGCAGGGAGGCATCTCCTGCCAGGAAATTGGAAGCAAAGGCTACTCGGCCCTTCTGTTCCTCAGTCAGGTTATTGTAGACGTGACGGCTGGAGTAAGTGATTACCTGTGGGATAGACGGAGGCAGGGTCAAGCAGTGTGGCTCTCAGCCTTCTTCCACTGCTCTCAGCCTTCCTCTCAGCCTTCCTCAAGATGAGGAAAGAGAGTACTGGCAGTGGCACAAAGGGGTCAAGCCTGGGGCAGATTCTAAGGGTCCAAGAGACCTCTGTTCTAATTAAAAGTCCATTTGCTAGGCTTTGCTTCTCCTTCCAAGAGTAACACCTCATATTTGTATAGCATTTAATTATGAAGTACTAATTATTTCATTAAATGCTTGGAACCACCCTTTATTTAGCTAAGGCATTTTGAGTTAAATGCTAAAGGTCACACAACTTAGTCAAGGAAGAGGAAAACAAGTGTACTACTGTACACACATTAAGCATAGAAGATGTCTGGAAGGGTTCACAAACTGGGTGTCAGCAGGTGACTCTGAGGAGAACTGAAAGAATAGGGGAGGATGATGGGAGGAGACTTACTTTTCTCCAGAATACACTTTTCTGTATTTTGCATTTGCTACCCCCTGCATGGGCTCTATTCCAAGTCTACTATGCTCCTTGTGCTAGGTAGTTTTACACGCCATTAATACTATTTTTCACCAGAATTTTTCCAAGTACTTATTCCCGTTCCACAGGTGGCAGAACCGTGATTTGAACCTAGGTTCTCTAAAGCCATTGAGTTACAAGCACAGTTATTTCTTGTCCTGTTTCTTTTCCCACATGTGTTCATTTAACTGCTTGTTAACTGTTCTTCCATAACATTTGGAAGCGAAGAAGAAAAAGTGAAACTGAGAAATCGTTGTGGCGTTCTTAGAAAAGCTGGGCCTCAAGTGAAGGGACGGAAGAATTCAGAATCAGTAGAAGGGAACGGTCTGATGCTGAAGGCTTCATTGGTTTTTCTTCTTTGTTGGCTGGAGTGTGGATTAGTAAGTCAGATGGAAAAAAAAAATGTTCCTTCCTTCCATAACATACACTTGAGCTCCACGTCTTTGTTTTCCCAGTTAGGGAGACCAAAGTTCAGATTTCCTTAACAGAAAAAAAAACTTGATTTTTACTGAATTTTTATCTGCCTACATCATAGCCTCTGGTGTAGTCCATTGCCTCCTTTTGTCAGTCACAAACTCCGTGCTGATCTAATCCACCAAGACTTCAGGCCGTCTGACTTCAGCTTCGTCTTCCCTGCCCCTCAGCAAGTGTGTTCTTTTTTTTTTTTTTTTTAGCAAGCGTGTTCTTAAACTCACTCAGTTTAAACCTCAGTAAACAGTTGAGGAATGACTGCTTTTCAACAGATCTGGAGGATGCTACTCAGATGAGTAAAACCTCCTTCTTCAAGTAAATTATAATCAAGTGAGATTAACAAGGAAAGAAGTATAAACATAAAAAAAGAAATGATTTCCCTGAAATATTAATAGTATCAGGGAGGGTGTTCCAGAAACATTGATGGCATTTGAGTGAGACTTTGAAAGATGAGTAGGCTATGAGATGAGGGAGGCAGGGAGGAGAGCGCTGGAGGGAGCATTCTCGATATATAGAAGGGAACTGAAAAAGCCATGCAAGCATACTACAAGTCGCCCAAGCACATTTCTAGCTGCAGCTGTTCCAAATGGTTTCACTCTACTTAAGCCCTTAACCCTGTCCTCAGTCACGTGAGGCTCTGTCTCTTCTCAGATGCTTCCTGAAGAGATTCAGAGCCGTCCAATAAAATGTGCCTCCGTTCCTTCTCCATGATATCAGAACTCTCAGTATCACCATTCATCTGCCCATACCATCTCTCTGCAAAGTGTTTTCTGTTTTCTTGCATATTCTTTTTCTTCAGCAAATACTCAGGTACTGTGCCCAGCACTGAGAGAACAGGTAGGAATAAGACAGTTCCTACACTGAGGAGCTCATGGTCTTGGGGCAAGGGAGGGAAGAAATAGGTAAGAGAATATTAAACACTAACTGATAAGATACTTAGAAAGCGTTTTCCTTCAGTATTACCCTCTCGTTTCACACACCATCATTATCGTGACAGTTTGCATATCTGTATCTGTGTACCCAACTTATTTTTGAGCTCCATTTCATGTTTCCAGCTACCTGGCTGCTGTTTCTTTCTTTCTTTTCTTTTCTTTCTTCCTTCCTTCCTTTCTTTCCTTCCTTTCTTTTCTTTCCTTCTTCCTTTCCTTTCCCTTTCCCTTTCTCTCTTTCTTGTCTCAAGCTGTTGCCCTGGGTAGAGTACTGTGGCATCACAGCTCACAGCAACCTCAAACTCTTGGGCTTAAAGGATTCTCTTGCCTCAGCCTTCCAAGTACCTGGGACTACAGGCACCTGCCATAATTCCCGGCTATTTTTTTGTTGGCGGTTGTCATTGTTGTTTTAGCTGGCCTGGGCTGGGCTCAAACCCACCAGCCTTGGTGTATGTGGCCAGCCTCCTACCCACTGAGCTATGGGCACCACCCGCTGTGTATTTCTGTCTACTCCAGTCTAGCCTCCATACTGCTGCCAAGTGAAGCTCGCTAATGTAAAACTCAGCTTACCTCTCTTCCAGCTCAGGAACCTTTAGTGGCTCACTACCACCTCTGAATGATGACCTGACTCAGCCTAGGTTGCTCAAAATAACCTCTATGTTCCCAATCTCATTTCTTAATTCAGTTCCCTTCACATACCTGGGTGCAATCATACTACGTTGTTTCCCCTTCTTTAATATGAGTTGAGCTTTCCCTGTGCTCCCATGCCTTTGCTCCCAGCATTTTCTTATTTAGAAACTCCCTTTTCTCCATCTCTCCACTCAGGCATCCTCAAACTATGGCCCGCGGGCCACATGCAGCCTGCCTAGGACATTTATCCGGCCTGCTGGGTGTTTTTGCTGCCACTGCCTATCCTGCTTAGCATCCGACTTGTCCCAGGGCCCACAGTCCAGCCCTCCAACGGTCTGAGGAACAGTGAACTGGACCCCTGTTTAAAAAGTTTGAGGACCCCTGCTCCACATGAAAGAAACTCTATTCATTTTTTAAGTCCCAAATCAGTGGTAACTCCTCATGAAACCTTCTATGACTGGCTAAATGAGAATGATCTCTTTTCTTTGCTCCCATCCATAGCATTTCTTTGTACCATTTTTATTTGAAGAGAAATTGTAAAATACTTTGTAATGGACAAATAGATTGATTGCTCTTTCTATAAAGGTACTTGCTGTCCAGGGCACCTTTTGGTGTTATCTGATTTTATACACGTGTGTGATCTTTCTCTTTGGCTGCTATTTTGCAGTCCTCCATTCAGTAGGCATTGATTAAAAACATACTCTGTGCTTGGTACGGTGCCAGAGATGATAAACAATACAAACAAGTGTTAGTGTTAAAGAATAACATTTTTCAAGAAGATGAGACTACGATTCTCATAGTCCATATACATAGCAAATAAATGTGTCTCCAATATTTTCCTTCACTTGATATTAGTGACAGAACCAATAAGATGTTATAACCAGCTCAAATAAGAACTAGGACCAAAATAGACTTAAGTTCTCCTTTGGACAAAATTCATTTGTATCTCTATAACCAAGAATGATTTTCATTGCTGTGGATAAGAAATGTGAACCCTGGGTGGTGCCTGTGGCTCAGTGGGTAGGGTGCTAGCCCTATCCCCCATATACCGAGGGTGGTGGGTTTGAACCTGGCCCCAGCCAAACTGCACCAAAAAAAATAGCCAAGCATTGTGGCGGGCACCTGTAGTCCCAGCTACTTGGGGGGCTGAGGCAAGAGAATCACCTAAGCCTAGGACCAAGGGTGATAAAGTGAAACTGTCTCTAAAAAAAAAAAAAAAAAAAACAATGAGCCTCACTACCAGCCATCTGCAAGTTAATTTCTATTTCTACAGAAATTAATATAGGAGAAAAATCATACCCTAATTCATCTCCAGAAAACTTGGACTCTAACCTTTTAGGCTCCAAAAGGTGAAGTCCTTACCCAAGTTGAATTTTCAGGGCTCAGATCAAAACCCAAGATTTCTGGAGAGAAATCTCTTTCCACCCTGCCCTCTCTCGCCCGCATAACATACAGCCTTCCCTCCTGCTCCTCCCCATAGCTTGCACCCTTGCAGTGTCTACTGACAAGAATCCAGACATTCTAGATAAAACATCTAGCTAGGAAGAAACAAGGAACTTTGTTTAACACAGAGTCCTACTCTGTTGCTCTGGGTCAAGGGCCATAGCATCACCATAGTGCACAACAACCTCAGTCTCCTGGGCTCAAGAGATCCTCCTGCCTCAGCCTAGGGAGTAGTTGAGACAATAGGCACGCACCACAGTGCTCAGCTACTTTTTCTACCTTTAGTAGAGATGGGGTCTCACTTTTGCTCAGGCTGGTGTCGAACTCCTGAGCTCAAGCAATCCACCCTCTTCGCCTCCCAGAGTGCTAGGAATATAGGAGTGAGCCACTGCGCCCAGCAAGACTGAACTTTTGACTGAAATAATGCATTTACTGTACTTTCAGAATTTTTAGTGTGCAGATGATGTTCAGGAGGCGCCTAGCAATGCTGTCTATGGGGGAAAACTACACACTATGGGGGGAAGGGGCAGGGGAAGGAAAATGATTTATCTGTAGAAATCTTGGATTCCAGGCAGAACTCTGAACATCATTTTGGCCAAGGTCCTTCACCTTTTAGAATCTAAAATGTTTTGGGTGCAAGTTTTCTAGAGATGAATTAGGGTCTAATTTTCCTCATGTATTAGAAGAAAAAGAAAATTGAGTAGCAGTTCTTTCTTTCTTTTTTTTTTTTTTTGAGACAGAATCTCACTTTGTCACCCTTCATAGAGTGCCATGGTGTCACAGCTCATAATAACCTCAAACTCTTGGGCTCAAGCGATTCTCTTGCCTCTGCCTCCCGAATAGCTAGGACTACAGGCACCTGGCTATTTTTAGAGATGGGAGTCTCATATTTGCTCAGGTTGGTCTCGAACCTGTGAGCTCAGGGCAATCCACCTGCTTGGGCCTCCCAGAGTGCTAGGATTACAGCTGTGAGCCACCAGGCCCTGCCCTGG